ACACGCAACACGCACACGCACACGCACACGCACACGCACACGCACACGCACACGCACACGCACACGCACACGCACACGCACACGCACACGCACACGCACACGCACACGCACACGCACACGCACACGCACGCGCACGCGCACAGGCACGCACACGCACACGCACACGCACACGCACACGCACACGCACACGCACAGGCACAGGCACACGCACACGCACACGCACACGCACACGCACACGCACACGCACACGCACACGCACACGCACACGCACACGCACACGCACACGCACACGCGCACGCGCACGCGCACGCGCACGCACGCGCACGCGCACGCGCACGCGCACGCGCACGCGCACGCGCACGCACACGCACACGCACACGCACACGCACACGCACACGCACACGCACACGCACACGCACACGCACACGCACACGCACACGCACACGCACACGCACACGCACCCACACACACACACACACGCGCAGACGCGCACACACGCACGCAAATATGAGGACAAGTATATGCACGCAAACAATCAAACACAAACATGCGCCGTGGGACCTGGGTCATGGTCATGGTTCCCTCCGCTAAGCCACGCCCGGCAGAACAAACACCACGCGAAGAATCACGGCCGTAATTTCGGGCGGCCTCGTCGTCGCTGCCTGCTGGGATCTCCACGCAGCTGGGCGGCCTTGGTTCCATTGCCGAATGCGCACTTGGGCGTCAGAAGCGTTTCAGAACAATACTCGTACGAAAACCGTTTCTTTCCCTGGCCTCACATGCCACGGCTGGCTTCAACCTGACCAACTAAAATCTCGGGGCTCCTCTCAACACAGAAAAAGAGTCGCATGCCCGTGGCAAGGTGTTGCTAGTGACACTTCACCCGCCCATGCTGGCAGCTACGCCGTGTCCGTGTGCAAATAACACCACGAAAGACGGCGAAGCAAGTATCGATCAGCGTAAACAAAACGCTTGCGCCCACCAACGCTGAAATTGTGTGTTCAAACCGCCTGCGCTTCGTCCGCCTCGACTCAGACCGGTGCTTTGGTTGGCGCGCGCTCAGCTTACACCATGCGTGTTGGTTCCAAAGACGCCGCCAGCTACTACTGCGACTGCCTGTATTGCGTTGTCTCGACTTGGCGGTTTCCAACCCCGAAAAGGAGACCCGGAAAAAATCCTTTTGTGCCAAACAGTGTTCGGCTGCTTTTAGCCTCCCACTTCGGCCAAGCGTGAGTTCTGTCGTGCCCCGCAACCGAAATTCGGCATCACCAGCGGCTTCCACTCTAAGAAAAATCAGCAAGCCAAAGCTGTCTCTGACTTTCCAAAAAAATCCGTTTTCCAAGTATCTCAGTTTGCCAAGGAGCAGACTGAATGATTGACGTTTGGCCCACACCCCTCTTAAGAGCGGGAGGTCTAATCGTGTAATTAACAAAGTAAGAATATACATTTGTCCGAAGGGAGCTAAACCATTGCAGGTTGCACTGTTAGGTCTGCAGGGGTGTTGTAAAGGACCCTTCAACTGCCCCAACAAAATGCAAGCTTACACTTGCCCGGCGCCCAGGTGAACCTCCTGGCTCTTCTTTTGCGGCGAGGAGAGCGTAAGCAAGCGTAAGCGATATTTTGCCTGAGCGCCGGGTCATTACATGTAACTTCGACCTGGCCGGCGAAAAAACACTTCGAGGAGCAGCGCCGCCCCATCCATTCAAACACTCCGCGCCGCCGCCCCGCAGAAACAGAGATGCAGCGCAGCCTGGCAGACACACCCAGCGCCTGGCCAAATGAAGGCAGTGTCCCTCAAACATACATGAGCTTTGGCGATTTCTTGATGGTACCCATTTGGACTCATTGGCCTCGCCTTCCTACGCCGCATGTGAGTGCCTATACACTGGCAGCCACGCCCCGGAAGAAGCCTTTGCTGGTGTGTAAAACCATGGAAAAGTGCCTACGCAGGCCTACACCACAACAGGCGCCGTAGAGTACCACTACGCAGGCTTTGTCCGCGCGCTGCTCTTAAGCTTGTGTAAGCCAAGACACGCCTAGCGCACACCTGCCTTTGAAGGACATTCTTCAACAGCCTTTGCGGACTGCCTGTGCTTTCATTTTCCCCACAGAACTTGCCTCTGCGGCGCCTCCGCGGATTACATCGCCAAACGCACTCTGCTCATGTTGCGATCCCAACCGCCTGTTGTTGTGGCCCTACCTCGTTTTCAAGGTGGTTCTATCTTTTTTCGCGCCGAAATTCAGCATGTTACCCAAAACATGTTTCCAACTGTCCTGTGCTGCAGTCGTCTTCAAAATCACGCATTTGCTCCTTCGGCAACGCTAGCCGGAACCAGAACAACCCTACAACTATATCTAGCCAGAAAAAACATGGTCAACCAGGCCGTCCCTTGGTTCAATGCAAGTTCACGTGTCTGCGCTCAGGCAGCGGCGGCGCCGCTGGAGAAACACACATCTGACCTTGCCACGCTATTTGCTGTTGGGGCCGCCTTACACTTTATCCGACATTTACGCCGGACTTTTCATTCAAGCTCCTAGCTTTGATCTTGGCAATGCGGGCTGGGCAAGCTGCAAAACGGCGCGCCTTCGCCATGGAAGCCACGCAGATCTGAGGCACCAACCAGCTTTGAAGCCAGGCAAGAGCAGAAAAACAAAGATCAGAGCCCGGCCTTCTGCAGGTGTGGCTTTCTCCTGTGAAGCATTCTTGTGAAGACGCTGGTTTGGCATGAGTGGCCACTGCAAAAGCGTGACAGATGCCCGGCGCGCAAGCAATCACTTTCCGAAACAAAAGGCCAGCTCTATGAAAAAGCCTCAGGCCCAAGCTGACGACTTAAGCCAGGTCCTTCTCGGTGGAAGTCAGCAAGGTCTCCTCAATCCGCTCCAAAACCTAAACGCGGGCAAGCAACTCAGATCTCCTCGCAAACAATGCTTAGAAAAGCTCAAGCCCATTGCCAGGAGTTTGGGATGGTTTTTGTCGCCGTTTCCGCGGCGCCTCCTCTGACGCCTGCGACGACCACACGCCGAGCCTGGCCATCGGGTCGAGCCGGCGGGCGTGTTGACAGGGCATCGATAGGGCGCCTGCTGCGGAGCTCCTTGGCAAGGGCCCGCAGAGCTCGACAAAGTTGGGCCTCACGGCGTGGCGGCGCCAGCACCTTCCCCCGATCAGTTCAACCGAGCAGTTACAGTAGCACCGCCGTGGCTGCTGCGGCCACACTTCTCGCGCGAGTAGATGTATTTGGTTTCAAGCAAAACACATGGCCCCTCACGTGACTGATACAAGATGACGCTACAATGCAAACGCATGCATCACAAACGGCCAAGAATACAAAGGAGCGAGCTTGACAAATTCCTTGCTGGTCAAGGGTTGCTTTGACGTCGTCGTAATGCACCTCGCGCCCGCGATCGGGCTCCGTACTTTGTGGTCTGCTTGCGCAGCAACAGGCATCCGTCTGCTGCAGCTCGCCAAGGCGGGCACCGAACGTCTGACGCTTTGTCGGCGCTCCGACATTGAGGCTGCATGGAACCCTACACAATAGGTTCACAAGTAGGTTGAGTCTTCAATTGGTGAAAGAAAAGCCTAACGCTGGTCAACCCAGTTGCTCTCATAACCTGCCATCAGGCTGTTTCGGCATTCAGTGGTGCGGTGCTGCTGCCTTGCTGCCAGTATCCCAGCTCAGCCGTAGTGTTTGTGCGCCTGGTTTTCGGTTGAATTGCAGCATGGACACGCAAAAGTCAGGTGTGCTCTTTAGGAAGCGGAGCAGAGCACAGGCTTGACTCCATCCTAACTTTGAGCAATCGAATGTCTGCGCGGCATTCCTTCCCAAGAGCGCGGCAAGACGTGTCACATGGCAAGGAGGCTGATCCTAAATCTCCACAGTTGCCCCAGTCGTCTGATTTAGGCTGGCAGGAAGCGGCCGCCCTCTCTACAGTTGGCGCGCAGTTCAACACGAGGAACCTTCCAACCAACCCATCCTCAAAAGAGTACCCCCAAAGTGCGGGGCCTGGGGCCAGGACCTCCCGAGTTGGTTTAAGAATCAAGGCGAGAACCAAAGGCGCCGAGGCAAGAACACGATGTCTGATGGCCGGTCAGTGGTGAGGATGCGGATGTCATCCCCAAGCAGCGCCCAGAACTTAATCCGACATGCATTGGGACGGGCTGCTTGCACTTGTGGTGTAGCAAAGCAGTTCCAGAATGTATAAAACAAGCTAGCCCCTTCAAGAGCCATCAGCACCGTTTAAAAGAGCACTTCTGAGACATGTGATCTAATGTTAGCTCATGGAACCGGACCATCTTGGGCTGCACATCAAGATCCGCGCCGTAAGCGACACTGAAATCACTGTCATGTAGGGGCCATCCATCTGGCAAAGGCACAGCTCCGTGCTGTGAGAAGCGTGCTGTGACCCGCACTGCCAGCAAAAATGTAAGTACATGGTTCCGATTCAACAGGGCCCCTCATAGGTCCAGGAGGAACTTTCATCGCGGGGAGGTCGAACATCCTTTTTGTGAAGCCGATATAATCTGCCACTGAAATGCGCCAGAATGACAAAGTTGGCGATACTCCTTCGGAATCTGGCCTGGCCATGCAAGGACATCCAAGAGCTACTAAATTGAAAACCGACTCCCGCCTTTTGTTTCTTCTCCTCAAGCTCCTTCCGTTTTGCAGCCTTTTCTTCCTTCAGACAAGGCTCAGCGTTGGCATACCCAAACATGCCAACACGCACACTGAGTGATTAATCCTGCAAACGTATGCTGCAATGCAAGGGACGTAGGGGGGAAATTTTATTTTTCAATCGACGTAGGGGGGGGGATTCTATTTTTTCAAGGCCCGGGCCCTACGCCGGGCCTTGTGAAATGGCGCGCTGGGCCTTGTGAACCAGCGCGCCGGGCCTTGTGAACCGGCGCGCCGGGCCCTACGCCGAGCCTTGTGAAATGGCGCGCTGGGCCTTGTGAACCGGCGCGCCGGCAAGCTCTCAGATGCGTGGCACAGCGCCCCGGGCCGTCCGCTGCGTGAGCCCAACTTGCACATTCCAGCCAGCAGCGTTCACAGCAAGGTTTCAGGCGCGGCTGACACACACACACACTAAATCAGCACGCTGGCTCTGGCCAGAGTTGACGTTCTTTGAAGCGATGCAAAAACAGGGAGAACAAATGCGTCCGACCCCCGTTTCAGCAAAGTGACCTGAAGCCTTCTTTTTCACCCGCCAAGAGCAGGTTCCAGGACACTTGCAAAAAACCCAAGGCAGATTAAGCACTGAGCTGACTACATAAGCACTGAGCTGACTGACATATGGCCCACGCGCCTGCGGCTCTCTTTCATAGGATCTCCGGCAGCAGCTTTTTGAGAGCGCAGCAACGCCTCATACTCAAGTAGTTTGGCTTGCTTTCTGCGATTTGGTAAGCAAGGCGGAGGGCCAGCTCCTTCCTTGCCCTCTGTGTGCTCCCACCTTGGGGCAGCACGCCTGCCTCTTTCTTTCTCACCAATTCTTCTCTTTTCTTACCCAATCATCTCCTTCTCTTTTTATTCTTTGCTCTTCTGCCACGCTAAGAAAGAATGCAAACCAGATGCGTCATGATGCGCAGAGCTGCAACTTGCCAAAAAAGCAGTTTCGCGAAACTGCTTCTTTGCATTTAGTCTGCTTACCGACGATGGCGGTAAGACTAAACCATCCGAGGGCTGGATATTGGCTGAAACCTTTGATCCGAGCGTTTAGTCTGCTTACCGCCAGTGGCGGTAAGCAGACTAAATGAAAATAAGCAGTTTCGGGGAAGCGCGCCTTTCTGAAAGCTGCAGTGCCGCAATTGGAATTCGGGAAGCTTTGCAGCTGCTCCACTGCGCGCTGCCCCAAGATGGGGATCCACAGAGGGCAAGGGGCTGGCCCTCCTCCCTGTTTACCAACTCGTTCAAAGCAAGCCAAACTACTTGCGACATGAGGCGCTACTGCGCTCTCAACAAGCTGCTGCCGGAGATCCTATGAAAGAGAGATGTGCCGCAGGCACATGGGCCACATCTCAGTCAGCTCAGTGCTTTGTGTACCTTGGTTTTTGCAAGTGTCCTGGAAACTGCTCTTGGTGGGTGAAAAAGAAGGCTTCAGGTCACTTGGCTGAAACGGGGAAGGACGCAGCGCTTCCACAATTGTTCTCCCCATTTTTGCATCGGCTGAAAGAACGCCAAGCGCTGGCCGGCGCCAACGTGCCTCAACTTGATTGAGTGTGTAGTGTGTCAGCCGCGCCCGCAACCTTGCTGAACGCTGCTGGGCGGGATGTTCAAGTTGGGCTCACGCAGCGGACGGCCCGGGGCGCCGCGCCACGCATCTGAGAGCTTGCCGGGTCACAAGGGCCCGGCGCGCCGGGTCCCGCGGTTGAGCGCGCAGGTCCACAAGCCCCGGCGTAGGACCCTGCGCGCCGGGTTATGCAGAATTCCGGCAGATTGCAAGTTGTGTGGCAGATTTCTGGTCTTTCGAGACACTCCTTCTAGTTGCGCGATTTTACGCGATATTGCGCGCTGATGCGCGCTGCTATGCGCAACCACACATCTCGCGATCTGCTTGCCGATGCCCTTGCACTTTGGGGGCCGAACTGTTGGCGTTACAACCAACTGAGATGGAGCGCACGGAGCGCACGCCCGAGCCAGAAGCATGCAGGGCGGTGTGTTTGGGGCAGCTGGGTAGGGCTCGGGGGGCTTTTAAACCCAAAAACATTTTATTTTATTGACGTAACCCCCCCTCAATTTTATTTTTAAGGTAGGGGGGATTGCGCATTGTATTTCACTGTTCTCACTATCGTTATGCGTGGTATACACGCATATGGTACGACGCCCCGCCGCTGGTGCCCCCGCTTCTCTTTGCACGTTAGCTACTTTTTCGGTTTGTGCACGATTGTTCCAAAAAATGGCCACCAAGCAAGCGGGGCCCATAATTCTAAATTCTAGTGTTTAGATTTATCAACACAGGTACTGAAGTTCCGGAAGATCCACTGGTGGGGGGCTTTGGGTGGAAAGCAAGATTGGGACTCTTGCGTTGTTTGGGTCTGGGCCGTGGATCCAGGATCCAAATACCGGTATTTACATTTCTACATATCGCTAATTAGATTTCACTACTGCTTTTCCTGAACTGGTCAAAGCTTTCCTGGGCAACTAACATTATTGAATCTTGGAAAGATGCTTCTCCTCTTTGTTCCAGGCATACCACATCTCCTTTGTTGGTCCCATTTCTGCTGTTTTCCGGAGGTCTGGCTGCTTGGAACGTTTGTCGCAGTGAAGTTGCTGTTAAGAAACTTGCGCAAACGTGCGCACACACATGCGCGAACGCACGCGCGCACGCGCGTCAGGCTGGCCCCAAAAGCAGGCGATGCAAGGGACGCAGGCGATGCGCGGGACACAGAGGCTGCCGAAAGTGCCGGCGACGCTGGCAATGCAGCTGGGCCGCCGCATGTTTGCAGCGTCTTGAGCCTTCCCCCAACGCGAGCTCCAATGGCCGCGCGGGCGGCGACGATGCACCAAAGGCGCTGGACACGCAGACGACGCGAGGGGTCCGCGGCGGCAGCGACCGTCAGTCGTAAGGCAAAGCCTAGCACGCGCGCTTGGGCGACATAGCACGGCGAGGCCGGATTTACACGCTGACGCGCCACAGCCGGCGTTTCCTTGCAGCTCCTTTCCTTTGCAGCCCTTTCCCTTAATTCCACTTAGCGCCCGTGCACGTCCTTGTTAGTTGCCTGCTCTTCCCTGCATTTCCGGCGGTTTTCTTACATTTCCCTTCGCCTTTCCTACCACTTCCGTTCCGTTCAGCTCCCCTTCATTCCCCTTCATGCCCTTTCATTCGCAGCCCTTTCTCTTAATTCTTGTTAACTCCCGGGATTTCAACCTCACATCCCTATTTCACATCACTTTCCTTCATTTCCCTTGAGCTTCTCTTCGTTTCCCATAATTTCACGTCATTCAGTTTCTCTTCATTTCCCTCCAGTCCCCTCATGTTCTTCCATGTCCTTGCGTTTCCCTTCATTTTAGTTTCCCTCCAGCGCCTCTTCAATTGCTTGCCCTTCCCTTCATGTCCCTTTACCTTCACTCCTTTCTCCCTTCATTTCCCTTCATGTCCTGCAATTTCTTTGATGTTGTCATGGTTATTATATTCAGGAACTATTCGCTTCAGAAGCCTAGTGTGTTGGTGCTTTTTCACTAGTAAACTAGACCACGGTTGGCCCGAAAGCATAACATCGCAAGCGAGGTCGGGCAAACGCTGCAGCAACTGACAGACTGGAGTCTCGTATATGCACGAAAAGCTCCCAACTCCTTGCGTCAAACTCCTAGAGGACGAGTGGCCTGAAAGCATAACTCCCCACGATGTGCGGCAAACTTGTTTAACCCCGGCCTGGCACATGCGCATATTGCTGCGTGCAAGTTGCTTTGCGCAAGTTGCCCCTGTGCGAGTTGCAGTGTGTGCAAGTTGCTCTGCGCAAGTTGCTTTGCGCAAGTTGCCCTGTGCGAGTTGCAGTGTGTGCAAGTTGCTCTGCGCAAGTTGCTCTGCGCAAGTTGCTCGGTGC